TCTCCCAAGTAGCTAGGACTACAAGCATGTTCCACCATGCCTAGCTAATTTTTAACATTTTTTTGTAGAAATGGGGTCTCTCACTGTGTTGCCCAGACTGGTCTTGAACTCCACAAGTGAGACCATGTGGTATTTGGTTTTCTGTGTCTGAGTTAGTTTACTTAGGACAGTGGTCTCTAGCTCCATTCATGTTACTGCAGAGGACATGATTTCATTCTTTTTTATGGCTGTGCAAAAGGAGTTTGTGCAAGCAATCCTGCCTCAGACCCCCAAAGCTTTGGGATTACAGGCATGAGCCCTTGTACCTGCCTGTATATTCGTTATTTGATATGACTTTAATTATTACACATAATTTAGTTCATCTTGTATATTATGTTTATTTTGCCTTCTTCCACCTCTCTTTGTTTTTCATGGAGTCAGTAATTGCCTTTTGTTTATTCATTAGTTTCCTATGTATATAAATTACTAGTTTTTCTAATAGATCTATAATATTCCCCTCAGTATTGCCAAACATCAAATAATCTGTAAATTTTCCTTCTCTCTCTCTTTTTTTTAACCTTAGAGACACCTTAGACCCTTTCCTCCTGCCTCAGTCCGGTTTCACTGTGCTCATGGCTTGTTGCAGAGCTCTTGCCTTGAGTTGTCTTTCATTGTTCTTGGAATTCTTTTTGCTTCTCCTTTGTACTGAATTCTGTTTCACCCTTTCTCAAGAAAAAGAAATACTTACCTAATTGTTCAGATTTTAGTGTGTAGAGTTGCTGTGGTTAAAATTTCTTAGGAAAAAAGTATGACTGATGTTCTCTTCTGTCTCATCCATGGTGGGAAGTGGGGTGGATGGCCTGATAAGGTAAAGGGAATGGATAAATGATTGAATGCTAACCATGTTGTTAGCAGGACCAGAGGCCCAGCTATCTTTCTTTCTTCCTTTCTGCCAAGGTACTTCCAGTTTGGGGCTGAAGCACCAGCTGTAACCCAGAGAAACCCCACAGTAAGCAATGAGACCAAATGCTCTCCCTTGCTGTAAGTCTCTTATTTTCTCTGGATCTATTTCTCCTGTGTCTCAATGACAATCTTGAGATCATAATTGCAGCATCTTAGACTCAGGCTTGGATGTGATGGGAGAAGGGCTTGAGGTGGGGGCAGTATTGGAAGAAAGCAAACATGGTTTTGTTCTGAGACTAGTACAAGTAATTTAGGAAAAATGAATGTTTGTGTAATGCAGATTTTTCTGCATTAACATATGAGGCCGTATGCATAGCTAACAGTAAATATTACTGTGCCTTGATTTTTCCATGCCCCTTTTGTATTAGTGCCCCTAAGAGAAAACTTGTGGAGAGGGCTAGCTATGATTTGGGAAAGAACTCTTGAATTCTGTGGTCCCTTGGTTAAAGTACAATTTTAGTTTATATTTTATCATTTTATTTTAGATTTGGGGGGGTACATGTGGTTGTTACATGGGTATATTGCATACTGGTGGGATTTGGGCTTTAGTGTACCCAATACCCAAATAGTGAACATGGTACCCAGAGGGTTATTCTTCAACCCTTGCTCCCCCCCAGCATCTGTTGTTCCATCTTTATGACCATGGGTACCATAAGTGAGAACATGCTGTATTTGGTTTTCTGTTTCTGAGTTAGTTCACTTAGGACAGTGGTCTCTACCTCCATTCTTGTTGGTGCAAAGGACATGGACATGATTTCATTCTTCTTTATGGCTGCACAAAGTACCATTTTTTTCTTTTTTGGGACGGAGCTTACAGGCTGGAGTGCAGTGGCCGATCTTGGATCACTGCACCCTCCATCTCCCGGGTTCAAGTGATTCTTCTGCATCAGCCTCCCGAGGTAGTTGGGTGCACATACATCACCATGCCTGGTTGATTTTTGTATTTTTATTTATTATTATTATTTTTTTAAAGACAGGGTTTCACCATGTTGGTCAGGCTGGTCTTGAACTCCTGACCTCAGGTGAGCTGCCCACCTTGGCCTCCAAAGTGCTTGGATTACAGGCTGTATTTTTTTTTTTAAAAATACAAAAAAATTAGGTATCTCTGTGTCGCCCAGGCTGGAATGCAGTCACATGATCTCAGCTCACTGCAACCTCTGCTTCCTGGGTTCAAGCAATTCTCCTACCTCAGCTTCCCAAGTAGTTGGGACTATAGGTGCCCACCACCACACATGGCTGATTTTTGTATTTTTAGTAGAGATGGGATTTCACTATGTTGGCCAGGCTGGTCTTGAACTCCTGACCTCATGATCCGCCTGCCTCGGCTTCCCAAAGTGCTGGGATTACAGGCACGAGCCACCGTGCCCAGCCAATTTTTGTATTTTTAGTAGAGACAGGGTTTCACCATGTTGACCATCCTGGTCTGGAACTCTTGACCTCAAGCGATCCACCTGCCTTGGCTGCCCAAAATGCTGGGATTACAGGCGGGAGCCACTACGCTTGGCCTAAAGTACCATTTTAATAGTCCTGCAAATCAATTTTTCTGACACTTGATCTAATTGGTTATATTGTCTCAAAGATTACAAGATACTGTTAAAATTACCTTCTTGTTTGTTATATCCTTTTTAGAACAGAGAGGATTTACTAGTAACCAATTAAACAATCAGAAGTTTCCTGTGTAGAAAATTTGAAGTTCTCTAAGTGGTCTGGAACAAGTGTCCCACAGAAAGAACAAAAAGTAATCTTTGCATTGCATAGCTGTTATTTACAAACATGGAATAGATGACTGAGCAATGCTGAAATTAATTTTGCTTTGTTGCTATTTTAAGAATAAACCAGGCATGCCGGGCACAGTGGCTCAAGCCTGTAATCCCAGCACTTTGGGAGGCTGAGGCGGGTGGATCACGAGGTCAAGAGATCGAGACCATCCTGGTCAACATGGTGAAACCCCGTCTCTACTAAAAATACAAAAAATTAGCTGGGCATGGTGATACGTGCCTGTAATCCCAGCTACTAAGGAGGCTGAGGCAGGAGAATTGCCTGAACCCAGGGGGCGGAGGTTGCGGTGAGCCGAGATCGTGCCATTGCACTCCAGCCTGGGTAACATGAGTGAAACTCCGTCTCAAAAAAAAAAAAAAAAAAAAAGAATAAACCAGGCTCAACAATAAAAAAGACACTTGCCTCCGAAATTCATTTGTTGAAGCCCTAACCCCCATTGTCACTATATTTGAAGAGAGGGCCTTTAAGGGGGTTATGAAAGTTAAATGAGGTCATAAGGGTGGGACCCTAATCCAGTATGACTGATGTCCTTATAAGGAGAGAGAGATATCAGGGATGTGCTCACCTCAAAATAAATGCCTGTTGTTTAAGCCACCCCTCTGTGGTATTTTGTTATGGCAGCCTTAGCTGACTAATGCCGATACATAACTCACTTAAAAAATGAACAAAAATTTGCATTTAAAAATGTAAGAATAGCCAGGCATGGTGGTTCATGCCTGCAATCCCAGCGCTTTGGGAGGCCGAGGTGGGCAGACTGCTTGAGCCTAGGAGTTTGAGACCAGCCATGGCTAACATGGCAAAACCTTGTCTCTCCTAAAAATACAAAATATAGCCGGGCATGGTAGTGCACGCCTGTAATTCCAGCTAGTCTGGAGGCTGAGGAATGAGAATTTCTTGAACCTAGGAGGTGGAGGTTGCAGTGAGCTGAAATCGTGCCACTGCACTCCAGTCTGGGTGACACAGCAAGACTCTGTCTCAAAAAAAAAAAAAAAAAAAAAAAAATTAAGAATCGTAGTTTTAAACATTGCAAAATTTAAAATATGCTAATTTTTAGTAATAATTATTTGAGTCCTTTATATATCACAAGCTAAACATAACATTCTCGCCTCCACCATCCATACAAACTGGAGGCTTTGAGTAAAGTGTCATTCTTTACTAAGTGCATTCAAGGCTTTGTACTTTTCTTGCAACATCTCTTTAAAATTATTTCACAATAAATTTAAAAGATAAGCATGATGGCTCATGCCTGTAATCCCAGCACTTTGGGTGGGTGAGGAGGGTGGATCACCTGAAGTTGGGAGCTCGAGACTTACCCTGACCAACATGGAAAAACCCCATTTCTACTAAAAACACAAAATTAGCCAGACGTGGTGGCACATATCTGTAATCCTAGCTACTTGGGAGGCTGAGGCAGGAAAATCGCTTGAACCGGGGAGGCGAAGGTTGTGATGAGCTGAGATTGCGCCATTGCACTCTAGCCTGGGCAACAAGAGCAAAACTCTGTTTCAAAATAAATAAATACAAAAGGATATAGATGGTGACCTGAAACAACAACAACAAAAACCCCCACAAGTCTTCCCAAATTGATGATGTACAACTCAGATTGAATCTATATATTTATTATAATCACCAAAATAATTTCACTTGGTACAACTGCTTCTTAAAACCATATCAATATCAGGCTCAGAATTTAATTACAACAAGCAATTCACAAAGAACACTTTGAGCAACAAAACATGCTTAATATTTCTTTGTGAAAGATCTTTCACATATGTGTACAGCATCACTGGGAGTTACACAACACTGTTACAAGGTGACCATTAAGTGCCCTGATTATGCACTTCTGACATACATGAAAGGCTAATGTAACCACATTTGGGAATCCTTTTACATCTCAAAATAAAGCTCTTTATGATGCAACTTGCCATTCTTTTAAATTTTAAAGGATATTCTTGGTCATTCCGTAGGAAAATAAAACTACACACACTTTGAGAGAAACAAGCTGCTTAGATTTAAAACATTTATTTTAGACACTTCAATTATGGGTTATTCATTAAAGACTTTAAAAAATGTATGTTATGTTTAAGAAAGTACCAATTAGTGAGGGGAAAAGCTGAAAATATTTGTCAGCATGTTAGATTCTCCAGAAATCACAATTTTCTGGACAAATACATGTAATATCACTAAACAATTTTCACTATGTATTTTATACATAGCCTGGAAAGAATAATATTTTGGACTGTAATTTTCACATCTTAAATACTATTTTTTCTTTATCTCTTTGATAATACTAAACTGTCTTAAAAATTTGTATCTATTTTATAGATAACAATCTAACTATGAATTTTCAACTTTGACTCGAACTTGTTCATGAAAATAACATCTGCAACTTCAGCTGGTTATACTGGAAGGAGAGGGGTTGTGATAATTTTATTATACCTTGTATTAACAATAAACCTTCTCACAGAGAAGAAAATACTTTAAATACCTTAAATCATATTTACAACAATAAAAATTCACATTTCATGCTTTAGTGAGACACTTAAATCATCCATAGGGCAGTCCTCATAGTTTATTGGAATAGAGCCTTTCTAATATCTGGGCCTCTGCTGTGTGCCAAATATGAAGCTCTGGATGCTATGAAAGCAGCCAAACTTCTGCCATCCTCCTATCCAGCAGAAAAACTGAGGATCGATCTTCCCAGGCGTCAAGTTGTGACCACAGTCCCCTGTCATACTGGGGTAGCAACTGATGTGTTGTGGGCCTCAGGACCCATGTGAATCAACTTGATTGTTTGAAAAGTGCCCAAAAGCCAGGATATTCTCTAATGTGAGTTGTAGGATGAAGATAGCCCTTCTGAGCACAGCTAAATGTGACATGTATGTGTCTATTGCACAGGATTTTATAAGGGTCCAGAAACAGTACTGTATTTCTTTCCTTACCTATTATATACATTTTTCTGATAAGTTCAGTGTTTCACTGGGAAATGTGACTTGCAGGGAGCTCTCCTTAGGGACAGGCCCAGCCCTGCTGCTCCCACCAACCTTATCCACCAGTAAGACACTCTCTGAGTCCTGACCCTGTGAAGAGTCTGAGGTCTCTGATATTCGCAAAGTCCTCAGTGAGGTGGTATCTTCCTGGGCCAGGCCCATGCCGGGCACACCTGGAAGCAAATTCCTGCCTCCAAGGCCATTTTCACTGAGGTCTGGCAGTGAGAGGTCTGGCAGGAGGGTCTGAGATGTGCTGCTGATCTCCTTCAGCTCCCGGGAGAGGAAGGAGCGAGAGTGGCCTGACATGGCAGAAGATGTCCTTCGACTGTCTGAGCAGTGCTGTCCGGAGCGCTCTCTGCGGGACCCGCCAATGCGGCAGAAGAGGCATTTGATCTTCTCTATTGCTTTACTGAGCACTGTCTTTCTCAGGAGTATATATATCCAGGGGTCCAGGATGGGGTTCACAGAAGCAATTCGGATGGCCTGCAAATCTGGATTTTTACTGACTTCTCGCTCCAAACTTGGCTGATATAACTGGTTGACGAACACTCGCACCTGCATAAGTGAGATTCCCCACATTTAGATTTCATCATTAATCAATTGGGAAAAACATATAAATGCTTTGTCTACCTTAGCAATATTAGGAAGCTGCCTTCCTTTCTGGTAATAAATTCCAGGAAAAGAGAAGGCTACATTATAAGCCTCAGAAAACCCAGTCACAGACTGGGCATGGTGGCTCATGCCTGTAATCCTAGCTCTTTGGGAGGCTGAGGCAGGTGGATCACTTGAGGTCAGGAGTTCGAGACAAGGATGGGCAACATGGTGAAGCCCCATGTCTACTAAAAATACAAAAATTAGCCAGGCACGGCGGCTCATGCCTATAATCCCAGCATTTTGGGAGGCCAAGGCGGGAGGATCACTTGAGTTCAGGAGTTCGAGACCATCCTGTCCAACATGGTGAAACCCCATCTCTATTAAAAATACAAAAATTAGGCCGGGCGCGGTGGCTCACGCCTGTAATCCCAGCACTTTGGGAGGCCGAGGCGGGTGGATCACGAGGTCAAGAGATCGAGACCATCCTGGTCAACATAGTGAAACCCCGTCTCTACTAAAAATACAAAAAATCAGCTGGGCATGGTGGTGCATGCCTGTAATCCCAGCTACTCAGGAGGCTGAGGCAGGAGAATTGCCTGAACCCAGGAGGCGGAGGTTGCGGTGAGCCGAGATTGTGCCATTGCACTCCAGCCTGGGCAACAAGAGCGAAACTCAGTCTCAAAAAACAAAAAACAAACAAACAAAAAAAACAAAAATTAGCCAGGTGTGGTGGCATGCGCCTGTAATCCCAGATACTCATGAAGCTAAGGCAGGAGAATCGTTTGAACCAGGAGGGAGAGGTTGCAGTGAGCTGAGATGGTGCCACTGCATTCCAGCCAGGGAGACAGAGCAAGAATCTGTCTCAAAAAGAAAGAAAAACCAGCCACTGCAAAAATGCAATTACATGTTCTGAGTTAGTATAGCTTTAATATTTTTGTAACTATCTTATGATTATCTTCCCTAGAGCAAAGGCAGTATACAAAAATGCAATGTGAGTGCAGGTAACATATGTATAAAGTGTTCTTGAGAAGCATTTTATTGACTTCATTTCTGTGAGTGCTTTTCAGTTTTTGTAATTCTAATGAAGTAACTTCTCTCCAAAGCTACTGATTTCTCTTATCCCAGGCATTTTACATAATTTAAAGGGAACTCACTTTATAAGTCAATTAACCATCTAATCATCAGAACAAGGCTAAGACTCTTTTAGTTTAATCTAGAAAAAATATGGTGAAAACTTTTACACCAACAGCAGGATCTCCTGTCATTCAGAATGACCAGAGAATAGTTTTTATTTTCTCTACGACTCTTTTCCCCAGTTACAATAATCCCCAGTTTTTATATATAATATAATATATTATATATAAAATAATATATATTATTATTTTATATATAATATATATAAAATAATATAATATATATAAAATATATTATATATATAATAATATATATAAAAATATATATATTATATATATATTTATATATATATATAATAATTCCCCAGTTATTATATATAATAATGGATGAGTGGGAATTTGCCAAATTTAGAAGGAAGGACATAACATTTTAAATAGAGGTAGCTCCATGTGCAAAGTCATGGAAGAATGAAATGATATGTCAACATTTGGGAACTTCAAATGATTCAGTGAATGGAGCATGAATTTGTGTAAGCTTAAACTATCATTTTATTCCTTAGAGGAAAATGCGTTTGTTAAATGTACATGTATATATTTTCTTGAGACAGGGTCTTGCTCTGTTGCCCAGGCTGGAGTGCATTGCTCACTGCAGCCTTGACCTCCCAGGCTCCAGCAATCCTCCTGCCATAGCATCCTGAGTATCTGGGACTACAGGTGTGTGCCACCATGCCTGGCTAATTGTTATTTTTGTAGAGATGAGGTCTCTTTATGTTGCCTAGGCTGATCTTGAACTCTTGAGCTCAAGCAATCTGCCTGCCATAGCCTCCCAAAGTGCTAAGATTACAGGAGTCAGCCACTATGCTCAGCGTCAACTTTACTCTTAAAGTATTATTATTTTTTTGGCTAGATATTACTTCTAATTCCACTAGGATAATTTATATAAAAATCTCATCTGTAATTCAAATAGAAATAGTAGTAATTCATATAGAAATAGTAGTATAGAAATAAAGATAATTGCCATCTATCTTTAGTGATTATTTAGTAATTACTTCTTGCCTTTAGTAATTATTTTAGGAAGAAATAGAAATGCAGTTCTACCTCATCGATCCAGCATTGTCCAGGAATGAGTTTAATATAAGCTTAATTTTGCAGATTAATGAAAATGTATTTCTTCGAATATTTTAAACTTCCTTCTTTCATTCAAATTGTTGAAAATCTTTCTGAAATATTCCGAGCCAAATACTGTTACATCTAGTAAGTGCCAAAGGAAAGCATGCAAGAGAAGAGGTTGAGTCTCACAGTCAAGGAAGATACATAAAAACCATTAAAAGGAGCAAGAAAAACTCACAAAAGCATAGCTGGAGCCATTTAAGTAGGGGCAAATATCTCTAACAAGACTTGAGGACACTGCTGCCTTACTATATACAGAGTAACAATGAATGACTCATGGTGTATGATTCACTTAGAATAGGGATAGTTTAGTTGAGGCTGATGTCAGTTCACAATGGAAAAGGTGATTCATTGACCATTTGCATGCGTTCATTTGGCACTTACTAGACGTAACAATATTTGGGTTGGAATATTTCAGAAAGATTTTCAACAATTTGAATAAAAGAAGGAAGTTTAAAATATTCCAAAAAATACATTTCATTAATCTGCAAAATTACACATAAACTTATTCCTGGTCGCTGCTGGATCAGTGCGGTAGAACTGCATTTCTATTTCTTCTTTAACCAGAATTTAGATCTTAATTAGCTGCAGGTCTATGATCCTCTATCACAAGATTTTTGTTCATTTGTTACTGTTTTGTTGTTATTCACTTGTTTTGTTATGAGAACTTAAACTCATTGCAAAATCTGACCTAAACTTATTTTGGCAGCTAAAACTGAACTGAACAGACTGTGAAGCCATTTAGTTCAATTTATTCCACTTAGAGTAATATTCCTATGTTCTGGTCCAAAGGTACTACTCCAACTCTGAAGGGAGTGTTACATATTCTGCAGTATATTATTGATTACTTTTCTAAAAGCCAAGAAATTCTGAATTCTGAAACTCATCTTCCCCTAAATATTTTGGATAAGGAATCTTGGAGAATAAAATAGTCAAATGCCTGTAACCAAGATGAAGTTAATATCTTGATATTTGGAATACAGCTAAATCAAGAATGAAACTAGAATGAACAGCATTATGTGATATCATCTCTTAAAATATTTTTAGAAACTATGCTGGGATAAATGATAATATTAAGGCAAAGCATACTTGATTTAAAAAATATCTTTACAAAAACTAGTAAAACAAAGCATCTTGCTTTCTTCCTTCCATAAGCTCTCAGGTCTTCAGCTATGCCTGGAAACTCAGCAGTTCCCTCAACTTTACAGGCCTTTTCTCAGGTGAGGTGTTTGTTTCTGAGACCCAGAGGTTTTGAGGACTTTATGATGTCCCCAGCCCTGTTGGTGGCAGAGTCTGATCTGGACCTTCACATTGCATTTGCTGACTTACCAATCTGGGTTTCTGTTTAATGATTATTTCCTGACAATGGAATTATTGGTAAAAAACATGAGGTCTATATTTCACTCACATCACACACTATGTTCCCAAGGGTAGAAGAAACGATGGAAAATCCTTTAGTATCAAGTCCTGTGCGTTGTCTCTGGAAAAGACCAACAGCCGGGTTTATGCGAACTTGAGCCTTCATGCCACCAGGTGGCAGTGTTGCTCCACTTGAGAGTTTCTGGTAATCAATACCTCCCTAACCAACACTGTGTAAAAGCTATCTCCGAGATTCACAGAACAGAATTTTGGTTAAGTCTGACCTTGACGTTTCTGAGATTTTTAACACTGGAAATGTTTTATTGCTGATTGCTTCTCCTATAATTACCTCAAAGGAAACATGGCTACTACTGAAAGGAAGAAAATTTTTGAACAGTTAAAATGGAATGGAATTTATAGCTATTTAAAGAAGTACAAGTTAGCATTTTATTTTAAAATTTCTGTGGCCTTTTAGAAAAGTCGGAATGTGGTAAAACAATCAATAATAAGTTTTCATAATCAAAGGAGATGAGAAGCAAGGAAAGAATAATTTCTGTGCCTCATCTCATCCACAGCAGCAATGGATTTTTGACTAGTATAAAAGGGAATGAAAGGAGGCTATATTAAAAGTATGCTCTATTTTAGAGTTCCATGGGGGAGGAAAAGCTTATAATTAATACAAGCCACTGAACCTGGTCATTCAATGTCTTTTCAATAAAGGGGAGTTCACAAGGTAGCAAAAGTATGAGTTTAAAAAGCAGAAGTCCGAACTCAGGAAAAAACATCCTGAAAAGTTGGTCAAATTGAAAAGAATCAATATGAGTTTTACTTTGCAACATATCTCAATGGAAACTTACTTCAAGTAGTAAAGAAAAAAGATAAAATGAACAAAAACTCCACGCATTTTGCAATGTTTGAAAACATATAGCAACCTCTGCTTCACTTTAAATAGGCTGCTTGATTTACTGTTTCCAAGAGGGCAGGGAGAACCCCCATTGAGATGGGAATGTCTGGAGTAGTGCTTCGATGTCATGTGAGGAGGTGAAAGCACTTTTCTGAATTCTTGTCCAACAGGCCCTATATGTTACATGAATAAACAAGTTCAGGCAGTTTTCAGTGTTGGAAGAATATGTTGCTGATAAGACAGAACCTCTGAGTCAGAATGGAAAAAAAAAACACTTAACATACTAATGCCAGGAGCGATGGCTGACTTCTGAAATCCCAGCACTTTGACAGGCCGAGGCGGGCAGGTCACGTGAGGTCAGGAGTTTGAGACCAGCCTGACCAAAATGGAGAAAA